TGTCCACGATGCAAGAACTGTGTCCAAGTTTCGATTTAAGCCAATCAACTTGCAGCTCTTACAGAAAAGTAGCAGTTTTATTGGCTTAAACCGAAACTTGGACACAGTTCTTGCATCGTGGACACCGGGCTTTAGGCTCAGAGCATGACCGCTCACTGAGCCGCTAATTAACAATTAAGTGTGATTGGCTGGATTCAAAGATAAGAAACCAATGGGCGCGTTCAGCAGACACAACTGTTGAGTGTCGTCTTATCAACACTCTGCGTTGATTGGTTGGGTCTAAAAGTAAAAGCCAATCACGTTCGATTGCTACTGAGCGGTTTGTTCTGCTGAACGCGCCCAATCATTCAATTGCTACAAGCGGCTAAGTGAGCGGTCGTGCTCCGTGCTGCTAGATACACGATACACCCAATCCAATCTTTTATTTAGTATAACCTAAACAGAGAAATGTGTATGCCTGCCAGCTGCCTTTAAACTTCTTTTTAAGTCAAACTGAGTCAAACTGATGGATAGCGACATGAATCACGGTATTGATATCGTAAATCATTTAACAAAGCAATTTCTTTGCTGTGCTGCATTAATTAAAATGGATTTTACGGTACATATATCACTACCTGTTATCATATTTCACTATTTGTGATTGCATAATAGTTTGACAATATAAATAAATGTTTTGCAGGTATTGGGCGCATTGGATAATTGTGGTTTCGATTTAGATCTCCAAAAACAAATTTTGGATAATACGATAAATAACGACTTGATTAAGCGATATCCGATAAAAACCTCATACCAGAAATCATTTTTGAAATTACTTATGCAAGAGGTATTATTTTTAAAATATACAGGGTATTTCCGGATCAAACGGTCAAGCTTGAAATATAAATTTAGGGTCTCAAAATAAGAAAAAAGGAGGTATGCTTGCAAACACTTTGTTCAAGAGATACTGACTTCTGAAGTTACAGGATTAAGAATGAATAATTTCAAAATAATATAAATTTATTCTTTTTACTACTAAACAGTAATCAAAATTAAAACAATTTTCCTATTTACTGCTTTACAGTAATCAAAATTAATTCTTAAATATTTTGTTTAAAATGATGGCTTCTAGTCCGGACACAAAGTGTCTATCACCTTGTATCTATCGATGAGAGACCAAGTTCTTTGCACGCCTGCACTATCTTCCGTTTTAAATTGAAGGTTATTAACAGGTATTTTATACACTTTTTGCTCGAGAACACTCGACTCTAAAAATTTATTGATGTTAAATTATTTTGAACAAGATATTTATTACTTAAATTTTGACTACTGTAAAGCAGTAAAGAGGATAAACCATTATTTTGATATTATTTATTCATAATAGTTCTGGGTAACTTCAGAAGTTAATACCTCGAACGAAGCGTTTATGAGCATACCTCCAGAAAAAGTTTTCTTGTTTTGAGATCCTAAATTTATATTACAAGTTTGGGAACTCGTTTAACTCGGGAACATTTTGTATAACTTGTTTTCGTACATTAAGACACAAAACTATTTTCTCTTATTATTACACACATGTAGATAGAGGAAGACGGTAATGAGATTCACGATGATTTATATGCAGCGTATTGTAGATTAATATCATTGCCATATGAAGAATCTGTGCATTATCGTCATTTTTTAGTAGAAAATGGAACGCTGAGTTGCATTACGTTAAAGGAAAGCATAAATTTAATCTCTGAAGGAACTACAGGCTTATGTAGCTGGCAGGTACTTATTTTCTAGAATTTTTCTCTATGGTCTCTCTCTCTCTCTCCCCCCCTCCCTCTCTCCCCCTCCCCCCTCTCGCTCTCTTTCTCCTGACAGTGTTCAAATTGCTTGAGGAATATTCTAAAGAATTATTCAAGTCAAGTATTTACATCAGCTGCAACTAACAGGGTGCTGTAGTTTTGAGTCAATGGTGCGCAGAAAACAAAGGACAATTTTTTGGAAAAAATGTATTGGAACTTGGCTGTGGAGTTGGATTGACTGGTATGAGCGTAATTAGTGTATGTTCTCCGAAGCAATACGTTTTCTCCGATTGCCATCCAACAGTATTAGGCATGCTATGCGAGAATGTAAAACTCAATTTCTTATTGAATGAACGATGCAAATTATTGAAGACATCTGAAACGTCAAGACTAAAGTTGCAATTAAAATACGAGCAAATCGACATTCAAGTAATAGATTTAAAATGGGAGGATACTGATAAATATATATCAGAAGGTTCGTCACAGCCCGACATAATTATTGCCGCCGATATTCTGTACGAGAACAACTCGTTTGGTTCATTAACATCAGGATTAAGGCACTTTTTAACGTCAAGCAATTACGCTATTATCGCAGCAATAATTCGTAATGAAGACACTATTTCACAGTTTTTGGAGCTTTTAGGTATTTTTTTCATTGTATTTTACATTTGACAGTTAAGGTTCCAGGGCCCGTATTCCGTTCCTGCCTACCGACAACTGTCGGTTCGATAAGTGTCGTTGCGCAGGTTTTTTATATCGTGTAAAAGCTGCGCAACGACACCGACAATTGTCGGTAAGCGGATTTTAGCGGAACAGAATACGGCCCCTGGGCTCTTTCCCCATCTCATGAGATGTGACGTCAGAAGCGAGAAATGTTGAGAATTGACACGTTGAGAATTCTTGCGTAGTATTTCCAAATAAAAAGATATTTGCTTAAAATAATACTACAGATCACTTCAGCACACTTCGAAAATACTCCGAGTTGAAGTTAAGTCTACCTCTTTCCCTTGACAGTTAATTAAACAGTCGTAAAACGAATGATATGATGCAGGCTTGTGCGCAGGCGCATGACTAGATTTCGTATTACATTTATTTTACGGCTGTTTATTAACTGTCAAGGGAAAGGGGTAGACTGAACCCGGAGTATTTTCGAAGTAATCTGTAGTGTTATTTTAAGCAAATATCTTTTTATTTGGAAATACTACGCAAGAATTTTCAACGTGTCATTTCTCACTTCTGACGTCACATTCCAACATGGCCGCGACGAGTACAGTTAAAAAACTGAGGGCTATAGGAGGGAAAATTCAAATGCCAAAAAATTGAGTATTTTTTTTCGTTTTAGGAAATTATGATCTTGCTTTTGAAGAATGTAGCCTACTAAAATGGACTATGCCGACGATACAATCGATTGACGCGCCCGTTCGAATATTGAAGATTTTTCAGAAGACTTGACATTAATTTTGATACTGCTAATTACTTATATAAATTATGCAAGCATTTATATAATTATAGATAATGTAATTAGGAAACAATTAGGCTAGGAGCAATTAAACGGCGATTTTATTAATAATCTTAGCATAAATTCTTATATATATATATATAAATAACAAAGTGTTAAAAATATATATAAAAGTATTAAATATGAAATATTTTATATATCTATCGTATTCGTTAACTGTTAACACTATCGCAACTCAAAACCATTTTCTCTTACTATGGCGTTTGAGTTTCACTTCAGTCTCATCCACATCCTTGTCGGCATCCTTTTTCATGGCCTTTTTTAACTTCTTTTCTTTTACTTTCTCCTTCGTTTTTCCCTTTTTCGTCTTCCCTGCATTAGAAGAATCATTGTCTTTGCCTGATAGCTCGTTCTTGTTCCTCGCTGAAAGACAAATGCCAATTCAAATGAGAGTTTACATCGTATTTTACATTAATACATTTATCATCACGTTGTTTACCAGCAAATAAACCCATATGTTTATTTATGCTTCTATCCTCTTCTACCTCTCTTCGACGATCCATCTCTAAGCATTCGACAATTTCGTTTCTTCTCTCTACAATCTCTACTAACCTAGAAAAAAAGAAAAGCGTTTACATTATACATTCTCACGCTACATTAATATTTAAAATATTTATTTCATAAAATATTTTTTTCTAAAATTACCTTTGTATTAATGCTTCTTCCCTCTGTTTATCAGAGTCCGTTTTAGTAGCTTCTGGTTGGCACATAAGACATCGTATTTGATATTCCACTTCAACGTGTTCTTCCTCTAATCTTTGTTGCCTCCGTAGTAACATTAATTCGGCCTGTCTTCTGAATAATTCATTTTTTTCGTTCACTAATGCGAACAACTCTAAAACCAATTCCTCCACGTCCGTACCAAGCGACGAATCTGTCAACAATTAAACAGATTAATTGTAAATTATACATCTTTATAATACGTTATTTGTATTTATTTCGTATGCGTTCCTTACCGTCTGCTCTAGGTCCAGATTCGCATTTATCTCGTATCAACTGTTCCAATCGCACACCTTGTCTTTCTAAGCCTTGCTGTTGCAATTCTATCTCATCTAGTTCTAATTTCACGTCTTTCATAGATACCACTTTGATCTGCAATTAAAAACGATGTAGCATCTCATTTCTTATTTATATACCCTTAAAATGTATTTTATCAGAAATTTGAATCTTAATGTCCAAAAATTTACGCGAAGAAATCTGTATGAAGTTTACGTAACAAACACGTTTTACACTGAAAGATAAGATCTACCTTTCTCCTATGCGGAATTGGTCGCGGTGGGGCGGGTCCCTTTTTCCTCTTCCACTTTCCTTGCACGCTTTTGTCAGTGTAAGATGTGTAGGAGGAACTGTCGGTGCACGAAACGGTACTCAAACTCTGTCTATTTCGATTCGCCTCGTCTTTGTTTGTCTTTTGATCTTCCCACATGTTCAAGTTACGATCATCGCCACCAAGCTTGATTATGGGAGACTCATCAAAACTTAACGCACTACCGATCGATATATTGCAAGGTGTGCTGGTTGGCATTGGCGGTGGAGGAGCCGGTTTGGTTTTTCGAGCTCGTGGTGTTGTGCGAAGCGATGAGTCCTTTATTGCGAGAGAGAATCAAACAATAAATACTTTTTTCCCTAAATTTACATATATAATGTGTATTATAACATGTAATACATATATATATATATATATATATATATATATATATATATATAATATATATAATATATAATATATATGTACATAACAAATTTTTTCAGTGTCAAATTTTAGATTATGAACTAATTATAAGATATACAAAAAATCAACTAAATTGAAAAAACGATATATTTTAAGACTTACGTGATACGGTAATGTACTGTTAGATGATTTGAGTATAGGCGACTCGCGCTGCTCAGATGGAAACAATTCTTTCGCGACCGGTGGCTGCGGCGCAGGTTTTTTCTTCCTGTATGTCCCACCGGGAGTTGTAGTTGATTCGGAGCTAGTTAAGGAACTATTAGATGCGTACACGCCTCCACGATCCAAATCGACTCTCCGTGGTATACCTACCTCGGGAGTGGTCCTGTTCGTATAACAATAAAAAGAGATTATTAACGTAATACTCTTGCACATAGTATTGCTAGAATAAAGTGCAAAACGTACTTGATAGTACGCGGTTTCGGTACAGGCACATTTCCAGGCGGTGTTCTGTCTCGCCTTTCCTCGTCACTGCCGTGCTCCTCTTCCTCGTCACTCGAAAATGGATTAAGATTGATTTGCGGCGCAGCCAGGACCCGCTTGGTCACGGACATTCCCCGATTTTCCGGTTTACTCCTCGCCGCTGGTTTAGGTGGTTCTAATTCCTCGACGTCCTCGTCCTCGCTGTCGAATGGATTAGTCGACACTTTGTTATTCCCAGAGCTGTTTATCAAAGTCCGCGGTTTGCCCTCCACGGCGTTGTCTTCCTTGTCATTCTTGAAAGGATTCAGGTCTTCCGGATAACCCTCGTTGCCACTTAAATTGATGCCTTTCGCGGTTAGCACGCTGCTTCCCATGGCACTTTCCTCAATGTAATGCTCCTCATCTGTCTCATTGTCTTTGATTCGTTCGTGCTCGACCTTCGCGAAGCTCTCCTTTCGTCTTTCGATACTTCTGACTTTCGAACTATTCTCAAGATGCTCATCTTTATCGAGCTTTTCTCCGTTATTCACCCGTACGACATCCTTTGAGAAATTCTCTTCGTTTCTCTCGCTACTTGTAATCTTCGAGTTTTCTTCTCGCTGTATGCCGACATTCTCGAAACTGTTTTTACGTTTATCAGTATTTTTAGTTATCAAATCTTCCTCGAGCCGCTTTTCCGGATGTTCCTCCTCATTTACCGGAAGAACGTCCGGGGACAGGTCCCAGGAGTCGCCCTGAACCATTGTGACATCCTGAGTCACAGCATTTCTTTTCTTGCTTTGATCCGTCCTATCAATGTGATCCCTGAGTCGCACGTTGTCCTGAGCCTCGAACATTTGGAGTCTCTTCTGAACCAACGACAGTCTCGTTTCGGGATTGGCTCGTTTACCGGCGCGTCCTGGCGACTCTTTGGTATCCTCCTCTCTTCTTTTCCTACCTATGTCATGGAATGAAATGGCAGTCGATCGCTGATCCTCGTCGCTCCTAATGTCTAAGCTATTTAACGCGCTATGTACATCATATCGCTCAACGTTGAACTCTTTCACATCTGGAAAATTCGTTACAGAGCGAGATTTCTCCTCCTCATTATTACCACCATCGTTATCATCAATAGTGTCATCATATTCATCATCATCATCATCATCATCATTCTCCTCCTCCTCCTCCTCGTTCTCGTCGTCGTCTGGGAATGCCGAGCCGACCCTGCTCTTTGTTTCCTCGTGATCTGAGTCAATTTTGATGTCCTTCGCGGCATATTCATCAAGCTTTTCGGAAAGAAGATGGCTGGTCATAAAACTCTTGCGCATCTGTGACGTATGGGAGATCAAATCGGGCACTGCTGCGTTCTCCAAGACACCCTGCGCACACAACGAAGTTTCGTCAATCGACTTTTCCTCATGGCGAATACTTACCTTAAAACGTATAGGTATATGTGTATGTATATGTATGTATGTATGTGTATATATATACAGGGTGAATTTTAATGGATGTCCCATTCACAATTGTCATCTGCCAATTTGTCTCAATTTTCTTTCTATATATATAAAAAAATTTTTGCATTTTGTAACGAAGACGTAAAGTTTAACAATTATTCTATATAAGAAGTGCTCTTTATCAAAAAAAGGATGCTCGATGAAGTATTGATGGTAAAAGGATGGGACATCCATTAAAATTCACCCTGTATATATATATATGTAACTCGAAGGGGAATTGTTTATACCTCCCGTGGAACAAGCCTGTGTCTGCCTACGTCCAACGTCCAACACAGTCCAACACTGCGCGAGAGAGAAGTCCTAATCGCCCGCAATGCGCATACGCAGAAGCGCCATCTTAACCCTTCTCTTGCCAAACAAATAGGTAACCATGGCAACGATGATTCTGCGTATGCGCACTGCAGATGCTTAGGACTCATCACTTTTCTCACCGCACGATGTTGGACACAGATTTGGCACTTAAATTCCCCCTTCCATTTATACATATATGTTCTAAGGCGAAGACCTACTCGGATTTAACCCTTAATATGTATACGTTTTTTCGGTACCTTCTAAGTGCATACATGGGTCTGTCACGTTCAATGCTATTTTTTCCTACCTTAAAGTACTTTAAAAAATATATGAAACATCTGTCTATATATATTGTAGTTGACGATTTTATAGTCATTTTGATGAACGTCGTTTATTTAATATCTTTTGACAGGCTTGCAAGTTTTACTGTTTCGAGCAGATATCTCTGGCCCGGACGCCGTAGACCCACGTATGCACCTTAAGGGTTAAAGCTCAAAAATGCGAAAACTTACCTTTCTTTCCGTTTTCTCCTCGTCGCTGAGCGGCCTCGGTTCATTCCTCTCCATTTCCATGCCAGACATCGCCGAATCGGCGTACTTGTTACGCACGCTGTCGGTCTCCTCTTCGTCCGGACACGTCTCGCAGCAGTACTCGCCCTCTTCGGTCTCGTAGTAGTTGCCCGGCGTCAGCTGGTTGCCGCAGCGGGCGCACCGGAAGCAGGTACGGTGATAAGGAGCGCGCGCTATCAGCAGCTTCTCCGCCAGGAAGACCGGCAGCCCGCATGCGGCGCATGGATCCCTCCGCATCCCCAAACGCGACCCCACCTGCGTTATCAGGTCCAACATATCGTCGGGGCTACCGTCATTATTCTTTTGTTTTCTAGCGCAGTAGTAGCAAATAAAGTGCAGGCGATTTTATGCAAACGCCTACCATCACCGCCGCCACCATCACCGGTTATTTTATCGGAAACTTGATCACTCTCCAAATTAGTTTTCGCATACGCTCAGCAGTTACTCCGAAATCGAAGCGATTCTCATAAATCGTTAAAAGGCATTGAATTTTTATATGGCGCGAAATTCTACGACGTTATCACTCCATTACGGAAATCACTTTTCCCCTTTCGGTACGGAAAAGCGTACAGCCGCGGAGATAAATATTGGCAAATTGTAGGTCGCGCATTTGTAACAAGCCATTGGATATCGAGCTACTCATGTGTCGGCCTTTTACACAGCTAGCGAATTTCCACAATAGCGGCCGGCCATACATCTCTCTCATATTATCGTGGTATGTATCTAGTGTCCGGTGAATCCAATAATGCATCGAATCGGTGTGACTTCTATACAGAACGCGCGGGTACGGATGGTTACGTGGTAGTATATCATGCGACCGTAATAATGAGAACGTTCGCTTCGCGACCGACCGGGATAAGAAAAGAATGGGCGTCACGTTAAATCTTTGTCGCGGAAAAATGAAATGCACATTATTCGTCGGGACTGGGATTGAAAGGGATGGCGATTGCGTGTCGAATATTATTTCTAGAATTTCCTTTTGAACTTTCAAAGTATTGACGTAAGGACGTAGAAAGACTCGGCGAAATTTCTTTGTGCTCTCGCGGTCTAGTAACATTCGGCGGTGCGTTGAAAAATTTTACGATATTCTAATATTACGGACGTTTTATCGAGCATTATTCCGACATTACTTGACAGAAAAATTTATTCGATATATAACGTAAATTCGTAAAAGACCTAAAGGGATCCTTCTCTTCCTCCCTCTTTGAAATGTAGAATTTGTGAACAATTTATCAACGATTATTTATTACGCACCGTATGTAAATGAGATTCATGTTGAAGGAAGGAAAACTGATTTAATTAAAAAGCGATGAATAATAATCAGTACATATCGTCCGAGCATCTTTCGTCACGTCATCCAGCCGAGAGGACTATAAAGGCCGTGGCACATAGAAAAACTTAAGCAGTAAAACTCAAGCAGTAAGCAAATCAGCCAATCACAGTCAAGAACTTAAGGAACGGCCCTAAGCGGTAGCGAATCCATACCGCTGATTTCTTACTGCTTAAGTTTTTCTATGTGCCAAGGCCCTGAAAGTCCATACGCTAATCCTTCTCGCTGAAAAATTGCATGGATGATAGGTTGCTAACCGCAAGATCGATCCCCCATTAAATTTTTATCGACACCCCTGCGCATGAGTTTTCCATAGGCGGTTTATAAAGCGAGGATCGATCGCGAGTTAGTACAAAAAAAAAGGATTTACTTCGCGATTTCTATCGCGAATGTTTTCTTTTCACGCGTTTAAATAAACATTGCGTTATCGCGGGCATATCAATTACTAATAAACCCATTATTAAACGTAGCGTTATCGCAAGCGTGCCGAGAATCGATAAATTTTTTTGCCGCGTTCGTAACGAGATTATACTCACGGCTAATTAAACGGATCCGTGTCGAAAACGCTGCGCATCGCATCGACGATTTCGCAAGAACGCAAACATTGCCTCCGAGCATTCGAGTATCGATTTTCACGCGGCATTAAGCGTACGATTAATTAATTTGATCGGCGATAAGCGCGACGTTATCCAGCTTTGCTCCTCGCCGCGCCGTTGCGACACTATCGACGACACGTCGCTCGTGACCCCACTGAAAATCCGGACATTTTCTCAGACAGCACCGTGTCTAAAATCGAGACGTAAGACGTCTTATAATATGATGTCTAAAAGACGTCTTATGTCCCGCTTTTGGGCATGTGTGCTGTCTTGGGTTGTTATATTTCTAACAGCATTAATATCCTGTATATCTATAGAGTATACTAAGAACGTCTTAATGTACTGAGAACATCCTTATAATATCTTACAGTTTACGATATCCTCTGAACGATATTCTCAGAATGTACAATACATTTGGTGTTAGGGATATTCTTCGTCGCACCTCTCTGCCTCGAGTTTTTTACGCGCCGTGTACGCCGTAGAATTACCGTGCGTGAGAATTAATCTCAGTTAATTAAAGCCTTTTGTTTCCGACGTTGTTTGTTTTCGACAGAAAGAAATCAAGAGCGAATTTTCGACGTTCTCTTACCGTATACCTCCGTAATCCCTCGTGCGACGGGAAACGACACAGCGACGATTCGACTGCGTGGAACTCGCGGTAGAGAGGCTGCTATGACCGCACGTCCGATTTCTATTGCGTGAGTGAGCGAGCGAACGCGTGCGTGCGTGTGCATGCATTGAGTACACGCAACGAGTGGCAATGACATATAAATAGAACGTCGCGCTCCAGCGAGTCGCCGCTCATGATTAATTACCTTAATTCCTCGGCGTTCGTGGGGCTTTGTAACGTATAGATTTTGTAAATGAGGCAAATATAAAATCGTTGACGAGGTAGTCGAGCGTTCGGCGCGCAAGAGTCATGGGATGCGAGGTCTTCACGGACATACGCGTTTTCGTCCCGAAATACCGCGGACGTTCCCGGATGATCGTTTCCGGTATCGAAATTCATCGGTCGAGGCTTACGATCGCGGACCACTCTTCAGCAAGGCTGCGACGAGACGTTCGAAATAGCGCGAAACGTCGCTGGCGGCGGATTGATGGTGATCGATTGTCTTCCGAATCGATTCAGACAGCATGTCCAAAATCGGGACATAAGACGTTTTAAAGACATCTTTAAGACGTTTTAATGACGTCTTTAAAGCCCCATCTACATCGTAACGCTTTAATCGTGGTCATAAGAAAAGAAGGCCATCGTAAGCATTGTGTGTACACATAAAATCGCAATGCGTTATAAGTTATGTCGCACAACACCAAATAGCGAAACAGAATGTCAGGGACTAAAAGTAGAGCTGTTAAGCTGGCCACACACACTTTCCGTAGAACGTAACAGTAGGATTTCGACCAATCGCGTTGCTCGATTCGAAAACGTACGGCCATACGTTCCCGAATCGAGTAACACGATTGGTCGAAATCCTACTGTTACTGTTACGAAAAAGTGTGTGTCCGGGGCCTTACGACGAGCGTTACGATTAACCTTACGATAGATGTAGAAGGACCTTAAGACGTCTTACGTGCCTATTTTGAATATGGTGCTGTCTGGGTTCTTTCGGCTAGTAGCCAAAATGCGAGAATGCAACGCGCCGAGACACGGGTTTATTCTGACAGAGCGATGGGAGTCTCCGGTCGCGGGGAACGTGACGGGACTTCCGTGATGACGATTCGTATCTGCAACTCGTTGAAATTCGCAATGCTCTTGCGCTTCTCCCCGCGGGAAAGTCCGCGCGGCATGAATTTGTTCTCCAGCTGGAAGGAAGCGCAAACAGATCCGGCGACTGGACGAGACAACGACCCGCGTCTACGCATATATTGTAAAATAAAATAAAATAATGTAAAATGTACGGTAAATAATGCCACTGTCGTCAGTGTCGTTAGCTAGCATGACACGAGGAAACGTGACAGTTTCTACGAGTAGTAATATAAGACATTCCGGCTGTCCCATGCAGAACCGAGTCAAGTCTAGAGCCTGCGTGAGCTTCGCAAACCAGTCGTCTTCTTTTTCTTCCGCCTCCTTTTGGAATCCGGCCTAACCGCGCGCTACTTCCACGTACTTCTACGTACCTTTTCCGTTATCAATAGAAAAAAAATAGTCGGGTATACCTAAATCTCCCGTCTCTTCCGAATCACACCATGTGTTATCAAATGGTCGCGCTGTACGTGTGCATGTGTGTGTGTTGGAGCATGCTAGCATGCAATTACCCAACAACGATCAACCATAGGCAAGCAAAACAAATAACGACAAAGCGAAATTACCTTCTAGCAGAATATTTCAGGTTTATATTGCCCCATTAAGTCCAAGCTTTCCTCCTGGAGAACAAAAATAAACGATGAGAGATGGGATTGACACACAGGCGTTTCAGTGCGAGAACGAGCGACAGTTTCCCCGGGGAACTTTGACTCAACACCGCGGGTCGGTTCACGGACAAGATATATACTTACGCTGCGGGCGTTCGCTTCGGTTAATTTTATTTTATTTCACCCCGCGCTTTGGAATAATCCGCCGAGCGGTTTTTAGAAAAAACTCGATTTTTTTTTCGTTCTACGTCAACTATAGATGATCCGCGCGTTGTCTTGCATAAGCGTACCAGTCTGTGGGTTTGCCGCGTGACTCACGCGTGTCGGCTTTAACTATGGCGAGTAGTTATGCGAACCATAATGAATGAAACTCGACCCACGCGAAAACGAATACGCCACGTCTCGTTCCACGACTCGTTCCTCCGTTCCTTTTTGACGAACCGGGTCGTAAAACCGAATATTACGATTCGTTAAAACGATTGTTCCTCGCTTCGATCTTTCGGGGGCAATTTTGCGGATCAACCGTAGCGGACTGACCGACGGATCCTCGAGCGAGGAAATTGTGGCGCGTGGGTCGAGCTTCGATAGGAAAGCGAACGGACGAAGCCCGCGATAAGAGTAATATAATTAATGCGAACTCGATATACACGGAAACGTGTATATCTCACAATCAGAAACAAAACCGGAGTTTCGTAATACGGCAATAACGTCGCGCTATTACTTTTATACCCGACCCGTTCGCCAACACGCCAACTTTGCCTTAACGCGCCGTAACGCTGGTCTCGCCGTCTTGTCATCGAAATTGTCACAACTCCGTAACAAAATATGACCTACGTTAGCGTGACTTCTACTTCGAACCAGTCGAGTAACATTTTCCGAGTCCTGGTAGGACTCTCCTACTGAGTTGGGCGGCTATTCGGAAATAAGTCGGGAACACCGCCGGCTGTCGATAGGACCTTGAAGAAATTCGCGAGCAAATTAGGCCTCATTTCGGAACAACGGTAACTTCTGACTCACGACTATCTCGACCCAGACAGATTCGCTCGCGTGCTTGTACGAGGCGCAAGGGTTTCAGGGGAAGGAAAGCGGAGTAGATAACGATCGGTGTTACTGGAGGTACAACGTAAGAATTGGACGGACATTTCCTTGTAATCCCGTTTTCCCGCAGTTCACTTGACCGAAATTCTCCAACGCGCGATACTTGTCTCTCTTTCGTGTACTCGCTGCCGTTGGCGAATGCAAAGCGTTCTCCCAACCGCTTATTAAGGACAATCGTTCGTATCGGTATCTAGGTAGCAATAGCGGACATTGGTAAGTACGACGAAGAGTCCGGAATCGGGATTACGAAGGCGGTCGGCATGACTGACAGAAGCAGTCATTGTTGGCCACGAAATCACCGACTAAATGGGTCCCCGGACAGATACTGTGTACGCCACCCGCGCGTTTTTTCGCCTAGGGGTTCCTTCGCTCCGTGACCTTCGGCGGGTCTCCCGAGTCGTTTTCTATGCGGAAGAGTTCGCAGGCCAGTCACGAGACCGCGACGATTCGACTTTGCGACTCTCGTCGCAAGAAAGCCTGGAAAAAAGGATGCCGCGCGAAAAGTTTCGTTTCACGAAAGGTGATAGATGACAAACGAAGTAGATACATCACAAACTTTCGTACTTGCACAAGAACAAGCTTCGAATACATATAAAACTAACACATTTTTGATACATCGACGAGCGGTCGCAATTAATAATTTGCAGAAGGCATAAGCCACCGAGAGTGCAAAGTATTTTCACGTAAGGCAAACAGCATAGTTGCGCATTGCATAATACTATGTCCATCTATCGCTATCAATTTTCTCGAACATGTAAAACTGATGGATCCTGAAATGTAGTAGACACAAAAATATAATCGATCTCGTCTATTTAGCGTGCGCGTGTGTCACTATGTGTGTGCGATTGTGTGGACGAGCGTCAGACCTATCTCTTCCCGCCTACGCTTTCATGTTCGACCGATCATCAAGCGAGATGATAATAGAAAAAGGGCGAATGTATGTGTATATGTGTGTATAAAGGTAGAAAAAGGGGGACACTCGCGCGTGTATCGATAATGCGCGCGTGATTACGCAAACGCAATAACGGCGATGGCATTTGTTGTTGGCTGTTGTTGCAACGCGGAATGACGCCGGTGTCAAGGTAAACCGCGCATGAACGGGCGATACACCGCTCGAGGTCTCTCCTCAAGACTCTCGGCTGCGATCTATAGCATGGGGAAAATCCGAATTAGATTTTTTTTCGAAGCCACTAAAACGCACGCCCAAAGATGAATGGCAAAGTGGGTCGACTGGTCTCGCAATGAATACGTGGTTAGAGAGAGAGAGAAAGAGAGAGAGAGAGAGAGAGAGAGAGAGAAAGAGAGAGAGAAGGAAAAAAATTAGAAGAAAGGAGAAAGAGGAAAGATGATGATTATCAACACATTGAGTGGCGTCGAAGCCACGTAAACATATTGTGGCTCACAAAGTCCGTCCGGTCGTTGCTAATTCACGATATCCCATTCGTTGCGATAGATAAAACGCGCAACAGAATAAAAAGATTTACAAGAATAGCTATCTCGTATGGCAAATGTGACTCGCGATTGCGTAAGTTAACGAGGAGTACTCAACGTGTTACGACGCGCGACGGTTTTCCGCTCTGGAAAAGCTTGAGGGAACTTCCAAGCCCGCGATACGTACGAAACTGCTATACGTATAAAAATTACACAATGTCGTTCATTAAAGGAGGGAGCCGGGCAAAAGAAAAAGTTACGAGAAGCGTGTCTGCCTCAATCGATCGATTGACCGACTGATTGATCGTGTTGTAATCATAATCATGGTGTACCTTTTGTTTAGGAGATTCCGGAACAGGGGCGATCCTCTCGTCAGCGGTTTCGGTCGTTCTGTTCGTCGCCAGACGGCTGGGCGAAGATCCTGAGACAAAACGTTAAAACATTTTCTTCAATCCTCTATTATTAACAATTGTTTTGTTTCTATATATTAAAATAATAACTTTTAATAGGAAACATGAGTTAAATTACGAGAGAACATTGGAGCACAAAAAGTTGCTTATTTAACGAGAAGTTTGAAGAGGAGGTAGCTGTTTCGTTTCAATTGTCTCGATGAATTGTGCCGACGTAATTTATGAAACGTCCTGTAGAAGTATCCTTCGTAGGGTGAATATTTATGCACGGAGCGCTAAAAGTACCGCTATTGTGGCCGACGAGTAGCGGAAATATGCTTCCGTTTGAAAGACAATATTGACTTTTTTTGCAAGGCGGTACGAAGAAAAGTCCAACTCGGCGCGTTTGTATAAACGCGCTTATTTATGTCGGTGCCGATCAACCTACGTGATCCAACGTGTAAATTCACGTGACACATTTCCGCGTAGCCTTCCTTCCAATGTATGAGAGACGGGAATGCGAAATGCATTTATAATAATCAGCTCGAGAAAGCTTATTTATCTCAGTTTCTATATTCTTTCGTTTTATTACCGGCGCGATACTGCTGAGCGCGACGCGTTCTAAGTACAGAGTCGCTCACAGAGTATCCTCTGTAGTAGCAAGATTCGATAAGTGTACCTCCACCTTCCGCTGACTATCGTCCGTCCGCCCGAGAGAAACGCCAAGTCTAATCCCGACCGCGAGAGCGCGGGGCCTAATGTAGCTATAAAGCGAGCAGGACGTCGACTACCGAGCAATGTGGTAATTTCCTCGTTGCAGGTAGTGATTTCAGGAAACGGTATAGGTCCTCACGTTAATTCGCAACCGGGCGGGCATTTATTATACAATGCAACGGATCGTCTTCCTATCCGATCGGGATTAACCGTCTTTCAAAGGTTAACGGTACGGTTAATCTGCGGGAGACTGGAATTCCGTGAGATTAGAAGCTGGGGAAAAAGATGAACTTTTTAATAGATTACGGCATCGCCGCCGGATATCTTGTCTCTAGCGACGCGTAGAGCTCAATAAGCACAAATGATATCCTCGGCAAATCGCGCCTGTTCTCGCGATTGCGGAGCAGGGAGAGAGGGATAGTGGAGAGAAAAGATTAGAGATCACGACGCGAGAAGCACGTTATAACATCGACACTTTGCGTAACGAAACGCCGCCGGGTTTCAAAGCGAGCGCGAACCCGGCAGCTGGAAATCGAATAATTCACGCCAATCTTCTTGACGCAGGTCGGCGAGGAAAAAGGATCGCGATACATGAAATACTTATACATATATCCTTCGAATTTACCGTTAAAGTTTAGCTTTCGAAAGTTTCAGGCGTTTTACGTATCGCGGACAGCGCTTTAATAAATGAAGAGAGGATCGAATCGCTAATTCGTTCTTTAAGAAACTCTTAAATGAGCATCGTTCTTTCGTGGGATAAGATAAATTCGATCCTTTCAATAATTACGGCATCTAATAAACCAAAGACATTTACGTACACGCTGAAAAAGTGAAATCCTGCCTGACAGGCATACTCGTCGCGTATAATTCGCGAGGCGAATTTGACTCGTTTGTTACCGTAAAGGCGAACGAAAATCATAACAATGGCTAGGACGACGCAATAACGTTCGTTCAACAAGTGGTTGTAAACGATAACGTAAAAGGTCAATGCCGTTATAGTGGCAGCTATTTTCCGATTGAGATGGGAACGGCGAAAAAGCCGCGGAAAAAGGAATGCAAATCTTGCGGCGGCTCAACAAGTGGCTACTCAAATTTTCAAAGCTAGCCCGCAATCGGACAGCCGGGCTAATTGCGCCTCTGATAATCAGAGCTCCAGCGGGACCAATAAAAACGACGACTTAAACGTCGTCAGAAGTTTCCTTTGCTTTTTACGAGACGCCGCACAGTGGGAAATTCCGTGCTGTTTTTGGACAAAATTCTTGTGACAGCACAATTTTTAAGATATCCCGTTGATTTTTTTTTATAAATGCTCAGGAAGACTTGTGCATTAATGCAGTACTGCGGAAATATATTTGTCGCACAACGAAAATTGTTAAACATAGAGTGCAATCCAGTAAATATGAAATTCATGCAAAAAACGGTAATTCCTTCATAGACATAAGCTTGTAGGGTATAGTTTAACCGAGATGGATATCATTTTAACTATGTTTCAAGTCGCTGATAACAAATTCAAGCTTTAAATTTTAAAATTAATTTGTTTAAACAAATTATCTCAAAGTAAGATGTTTTATAAATTTTCATTTCAAAATCTGTGGATACAATTACATACAAAAAACATAGTAGGCTTTCAAAGTAATATCTTTTAGATCCAAATTGTTAATAATAATTTACGATTATTTTTTTAACCTAAAGTATAATATCTCCTATATCTTTATTTAAAGAAATTAACGGAAGATCATCAAGCGTAATGAATATAATTTTCATGATTTTTGATAGCTGATTACGAATTCAACCTCAGAATTGCAAAATTAATTTGTTTAAACAAATTTATTTAAACAAATTATCTAAAAATAATATTTTTTATGAATATTTATTTCAAAATTATTCTGCAGATGGAATTACATAGAAAAAATAGAAAAAGCCTTCGAAGTAACACCTTGTAGATCTAAATTGTTAATAATAAAGGTTGATTATTTTTTTATAATATCTTTTATTTAGTATTACACAATAAATACCGCGTCAAGGTAACAGTAATAAGAGGAGTTTTTTGTGATTTTATGCGTTTACTGTTACCTTGACGCGGTTAAGGGGCTTATATCTTTTAATATTAAAAACGATAACCAAAGACAGTCAATCATAAAAGAAAATTACTATTATCATTAAACAAAAACTCAGAGAAAATTATACAAATATATATTTATTGTATAATATTTATTGTAAAATCACAAAAAACCCCTCTTATTACTGTTACCTTGACGCGGTATTTATTGTGTAATACTAAATAAAAGATATTATAAAAAAATAATCAACCTTTATTATTAACAATTTAGATCTACAAGGTGTTACTTTGAAGGCTTTTTCTATTTTTTCTATGTAATTACATCTGCAGAATAATTTTGAAATAAATATTCATAAAAAATATTTTCAGATAATTTGTTTAAATAAATTTGTTTAAACAAATTAATTTTGCAATTCTGAGGTTGAATTCGTAATCAGCTATCAAAAATCATGAAAATTATATTCATTTCGCTTGATGATCTTCCGTTAATTCCTTTAAATAAAGATACAGGAGATATTATACTTTAGGTTAAAAAAATAATCGTAAATTATTATTAACAATTTGGATCTAAAAGATATTACTTTGAAAGCCTACTATGTTTTTTGTATGTAATTGTATCCACAGATTTTGAAATGAAAATTTATAAAACATCTTACTTTGAGATAATTTGTTTAAACAAATTAATTTTAAAATTTAAAGCTTGAATTTGTTATCAACGACTTGAAACATAGTTAAAATGATATCCATCTCGGTTAAACTATACCCTAGAAGCTTGTGTCTATGAAGGAATTACCGTTTTTTGCATGAATTTCATATTTACTGGATTGCACTCTATGTTTAACAATTTTCGTTGTGCGACAAATATATTTCCGCAGTACTGCATTAATGCACAAGTCTTCCTGAGCATTTAAAAAAAAAAATCAACGGGATATCTTAAAAATTGTGCTGTCACAAGAATTTTGTCCAAAAACAGCACGGAATTTCCCACTGTGCGCCGCTCTGCGTCGCGTTGTCGCTCACGAGGAGTGCGAGGAGATCAAAAGCCGCGATACTCGTTGCGTCGTAACTTAAATGGGACGAAAGAAATTTCATCGAAATATCACGTCCACGTCGTGAAATCGTTGATCGAGAAAAAAAAATTAATTTCAAACGAATTTCTGTACTTCGCGTCCCGAGATTCGCATTGTCGAGGCAGATATCGACCTTATATAGCGCAACTTCCGCGACAGACGTCACGCGTGTGATATTAATCGAAGGGGACAATTGTGCGAGAGATACGCCGGTCCGCTCCGCGAAGAGGAGAAAGCTAGAAACCAATCGCTGACACGAGAGCAATCGGCGCGGCCCTATTTGGCCCATTTGGTAACGGGCTGCGCAATCGTGTCGAACATGCGAGACATTAATGCGTTGCGACGTTTCGAACGTCACGCCTGTCGATCGGACTCGCCTGACTTCAACCTGAAAACGAACGTGATGTGTGTGCCGATAGAACGCTTTTTTCGCAGCCCGCACTTCTCGGAATCACAGATGTCATAGTTAGAGACACGACGCGAAACATCGCTTGCCTCGAGGAAATTTGTAATCGTGCGTATAAAGTAAAATCGAATTTACTGGTTCTCCCGGGCTCTCCCATACAGCACAAAAATTTGAAACAAAAGTTGAGACGTTGCAATGTTGAATATTGAAGTGTAAATATCTTTCCAACGTTGAATTTAAGTGTTGATTCTTCTATACATTAATTCTTTATATTGATATACAACATTGAAACAGCATTGAACAAATTATCAATCTTTCCGTGCTATTCGCAACGATGCCGCTAGGCGGTATGACGGTAAGACCAACTCGTAAGTTTAGTTGAGGGTGAATATAAAAGCAGGCCCCCAGCGAAACAAAATCCGAGGGTCTTCTTTTAGATCTAAGGGAATAATCCAATCGGAACTGAGAAAATTTCCAATAGTTGTAAAAAAAATATGTTCTGCTAAACGCGGCCAATGTTAATCAATATATAACAATTTAAAGATGTATGTCAGATAGCTATATATAGTATAATTTTGTTTTCTTGATTAAACAGTGTAGAGCTAATCTCAGAAATTATTCATAAACAACATGATATCATTGGGACAGAAAAAGCGTAAAAATCGCAATTTTGTCCCATTTTTGTACTTGATATTGTTTAAATAAATCATTAAAAAATTGAAAAAAAAAAAATATAACCAGAAAATCTTAAAAATCCGTAATTGCAATTCTCGATGTCATAGAAGTGTACCATAAAAATTTCATTCATTTTTACCGTACATGAGCAGAGATACATATTATGATATTTACATGGGAAGTATATCTATATATATATACAATTTCTGTAACTTTTAAATCAAATATCTCAGAAACGGGTCGGACAATCAATCGCAAATTTAACACAGATTTTTGGGATATATAAGTGCACAATCTCTGTAAATTTCAGCTTTATTTTGTTATTATTTTGACATAAGCGACATACATCTTTAATTGTTGTTGCATTGTTTTTAATATTTGCCAGTTAATATATCATTACAAGATTTTTGAACACTATAAAGACGTGTTATATACAAGTATAGGCAAAAAGAAAGTATCGGAATCAGAGGATAATCATTAATAAAGCTGAATGATGAATTACAACGTCTACAAAACATTGTAATTCAGAGGACATTAGACGTTTGTACAATATATTTTCAACGTTGAATATACATTTTGCAATGTGGATGCAATATTGCAAATGTTTTTGAGATTTTGATTCAACGTTTATGTATTGTATGGGTCTTATAATCTTATAATATAGTTTCGATAAAAGTTATATGAAGCTCAATCTTTCGCGATGAAGGTAAAGTGAATTACGCAAATTAAGTTTGTATAAAAATTTCTTTTCGTAAAATTTGCGTTAAATAATATAAAAGACACCGCGATGGTCGACTACGAGTGTAAGAACGCTCCTTTGAGAAAAAAAATCTTTAGCTGTGATGTACTTTTTCCGACGGGATTGTATCTCGTCGATAGAGTCGTCTAGACTAGGGAAGAGATGAAAAAAGCGGTCGATAGCCAGAGATTGAAAACAAAAACTAGCACCAAAATCGTCGTGTATTCCTCAGACTATTCGCGACGTATGTACTTATTTGCGTCAGACTCAAATATCTTCTGAAAAAAAATATGAAGCCGAATGCAGCCGCTGATGTTAGGTATGCTTAAATTATTTCAGTTCGAGAATTCAATAGCAGCAAACGGCGAGCAAACTCGAATCGAGGAATGAATTTAATTAAATCTTTCAACGCATTCCGAGAGTTAGGGAATGTTTACTCTTCGCGTAATAAGACGTCTGAGACGATTCACGATGCGAGCGTTACTTTCTTTAATAAAGTCAGCCCGCTCTCGACAAAGAAAGTCTCGCGACGGGACTTACCTCCGAAAGTTTGGTAAAATTGCGAAAGGTAGGTGAGAATGGACAATCGATCGGGCACCGTGCAGGACGCCATGTCCTCGGCGTCCAGGAGCGCAGGGATCCCGAGATGCTGCTCGGCCGTTCTGAAAGCCAGCTCGTTGTTTCTGTACACATCGTCCTTGTTCAGGCTGTTGAAGTCGCTGTAACAAAAAACGAAGTGGGACGACCTGAGTTTTTATCTCTCGCTAAGCAGTATTAATCTTCTGCTATCGGTTACTTCGGCGCGATTCTTCGGCCACATTTATTCCGCGTCCGAAGGCCACTCGATAAAACGTCGAATGTGTAAAAAGGATTCCTTGAATAAATCAGATTGCTGATTATCCTGTGGGCGTGTATGGTGAGAATCGCTTTTTTCATTAGAGCAAGTATAAATAACCGCCGCTGCTGAATATGTGAGTCGTAAACGACGGCGGTTAAGTATGCCCGGTCTTTATTAAAGAAAGGACGGTCGTGCGAAATCCGTCGCAGTTATATCCCTCTTAATAAAATGAAAATGAGCAACGGATGTGACGCTGAGAAACAAAGCACAACTTTGATTTAAAAAAAAAAACACTTTATGATTTTTGCAAACGATTTCTCTGCGACACATTTGTAATTTTCTAAGTTATTGAAGTCGGAGTGTGCAGCGTGCTGTCAGCGGCATGTATACCGAAATATATACATGACAAAATATGTACATAACAAAATATGCCGGAAATACGTAGGCGAATTTAGCAGATTGCATCGGGGAATGTAACGCAGTTAAATTTTCGCATGACTGAAAAGGTGCCACGAATGTGTAATGCATCTCGCACGTGGGCCACGGATCTGCCCCCGTTATCGAAATGGGCCGTCTATCGAGACATGCATTATTTATGAAGAAATGAAAATGTAATGAAACTTTAATTAAACGGAAATAATCTAAATTAAGAAAATCACTGTTTCCGCATAGATGCTCTACCGTTTCCGGCTGTCTGAAATGGTTGATTGAGTGATAACGTTACCAAGCTAAAGCTGTCGGTGCAATTGCAAATAAGTGCCGACTCGTCGAAATAAAGTCGTTGATATTGCCGACAAAATTTTCCCTGCATCCCAGGATCTATTCAAAGAGGGATTCAAACAGGTGACTCGGGATCAAAAGTCCTAAAAAGGGAGCTCAAGTCCTCGGAAAGTCGTAACTAGAAACCTTAAACTCCGAAAATATAATATTGCTCTTTTATCTCGGCGGACATATCTTTCCCGCAATTTACGATTATTGCATACAGAATTACGATTTACTCTCCTGACACTTCTCCTTTTTATGGCACACAATGATACCCATTTTTTTTCGCGACTGTCCCGGGCTACTATACGAGTGCTCCACTTTTAGGTAAATCGATATGCACAGGCCGCATATTGCTCGGTAGTTGAAGTAGTACTTGAAATTCTAGGTCGAAAGATGAGCACCTGTTCGATGCTCGAGTTCGGCTGCTCGATTGATAGCGAGATAGCAAACCCACGCGGATGTAAAACTTTTGTTACGATTTATGTAGAGCGTGAAATCGACACGTCACTCATTCTTCGCAAGCGCGCATTGTGCCTACAATTATGTCAGACAATTCAGTATTGTGAAATTGCGTCGTGGTTATCACGGATCGAAGCAACGTGAAATTCTAGGTTATATATATATATATGCATATATCAAGTGTTTGCGCGATCATTTCTCTCGAGCGTATGTATCCGCGGGAGAGAGAGTGCCGTCGATAATACTATACAACGGAGTATCGTTTCTTCGTCGACATTCTCTAATAATTTCCCGCAGTAAAACTCCTGACTCGTCACGACTCGCGATAAATTCGGGATTTGATGGACGACGGGCGGTCGTCTGGGAGGTCACGATGAGTCAGAGTTCCACCAGACCGGTGCCACACCCATCCTTTTCATTCTCATCCTCCCGTCCTTCTCATCTTCATCTCTTCCTATTGCAGCCTAAAAAAAAACCTACGCGAGTTGACGACTCGTCTTTCGGCTTAATAGTGATACTTCATCCACGCGCGCGTGCGCCATTCGGTGCTAATCGTCGTAGGTATATTTCGCGAGACTCCATTTGTAAAATTACGACAGGAAGAACGAGATCAGCTATTAAGGAACGCGATTCTAGCGCGATAACGTTACACATCGGATGAGAAATCGCACGACTGAACGAACGATATCCAACAGAACTCCGTAGAGATAGTTCAGAGCTGCATATATCGCGGCATCAACCGTCCAGCTTTGAACGCAATGTTGCGAGCGAGCGAGCGAAAGTTCAAACCGCAACACAGCTCCACGTTATGCCCATAAATTTTCGCACCTATCCTTTGCTGCCCCGCGTTTTAACGCGCGCATCTATAGAATTAACGTAACCCCACGAATTTCACCAAAGGCGCAAAGGTCTCCTCTCCGCCACGTGCAGATTCTTCTTCGATCGGTTAGGTATACACCTGTCGGTTTTACTTTCACTCGCGCCTCCTCGTCAGAGATCGCCAAGATATTCTCACGTGATACTCCTCTTCCGGGTTATTCTACCCGGCTCTTCAATTCAGCTGCTCGACAATAAAAGGTCCACCGCGAGTCGCGATCTTCTTAATTTTCAATCACCTCATACTTACTTGTTAGACAGATACTTAGACAATAACCATTAAGGAGCGTTATACGCATCGCGACACGGAATCTCTTTGTCTTTTGTCGGAAGTTAAAATAACTCTGAAGTTCTGAAGTTCGCTTTGAGAGGAGACGAGGAAGGAAGGCGAGGAGAAAGGGGAAAATTTCGTTTCAGCTACGGGAACGGAAGGTAATAGAAGAAAACTTCTCGCTGTTTTATTGCCTCCCTCCGCCGTTACGTCCGAGTAGATTTTGCCGGACTGACCGAGACAATAAGAGGAGGAGAAATGAAGAATAGCCTCGCAACGATCCTTTCGTTCGCGATAAAAAGCGAATTCCCTTCTTCGTGAGACCTTGACTATTGAAGCGAAGTTCTAGAAGGAATTCTCATACGAACAAACATCTTTCCCTACAAAAAAAAGGCGCTTAAAAGGTCGCTTTCTTAAAGACGCAATTTTTTAAACGTGTAAATTTATATATGTCTCTTCAAATGACTATTTAAAAACAACATTCTCCATTTAATTATAAATATTGAAACAGATAAAGGCATATATTGCGTCTATCAAACCCCGAAAGTGTCTAATTCTACCCTTGACACAAACTCAAGTGTCAGGAATAGAATTAGATACTTTCGGGAAAATAAAGTCGATAAAAAGCCAGGACAAAGAGGCTTTTTATAGAGAGTCAATAAAGAAAGGCCGAGGGTCTCTTGTTTCGACGGTCAAGAGTGCATTTCTCTTAAGGCTCCTGGTCCCTGAGCCGAGAACTCTGCGTTGACGGTGGCGACGTACCGTCGCGGCAGAAATCAGAACTCTCTCCAATGGAGAATTCTGTCTTTTGTGACATGTTGACAACCTATTTTGTTGTGCATGGTATTTCTTTATTATTCACTCTGTGCTTGTGCTCTAACGTTTAACGTATTCGTGAAAGTCGTAAAATTGGTCGAAAAGTAAGACTTGCATGCGGAAGGAACGTTTTCATCTCCTTTCGATAGTCGTTAAACGGCTGTTTTTCCCGTATGTTTAGGCTTCGTTTTATGGCTGTTTGTTTATTGTCGAGGAAAAAGGGTAGTTTTCGGCCAATTTCGGAAGTGTTCTGAAACTATCTATAGTGATGTTTTATTGAAATGTCTTTTTATTTGAAAATGGCATGCACAACAAAATTGGGTGTTTTCCTCGCCTCGATAGTAAGAATCCAATATGGCCGCGGTGACTACCCAGGAGCCTTAAAAACGCCACTTAATCTATAACAGAACACATTTTGTCACGACGTATCGAGGTACAACGGGCAATAATCCAAGCCGCAGACTTTTTCGCAGTTTAGCCTCAACACATTTCGAGTCGTAGGTGATAAAATTATTAATCTTATTAAAAAATTAAATGTGCGTAACTCGCACGAGCTTTCTTTTGCAAGATTTTTTTGGCAATGTGCACGCAATGGCACAAATGTATTTTTGTTCGCGTTGTTTATTCGTTCGCGTTTAAAGTATCGAACGATCGCGATAATAATTAGACGTTTTCGACTAGCAAGAGATATTTATTTGGACGGCCGCCAGGAAACAGGAAAGCTCGAGATGTCGTTAGCCTTCATGAATGTTTGAAAACAAATCTCTGCGATGGATGTCCGCGATGTTGTCTTGCCTTTTTACCCTAGTTTATTGATTATGCGCCGAAAAGAATAATAGGGGTATTCAAATAAGTTAGAGTTTAACGGTTTGACAGGTTATGTCGGGTTAAAGTCGGGTAAAAAGTTAATTTTTACACTTTTAACCCAAAGATTAATGTGATAGGTTAATGAGTCACTTATGTATTTTGCATAACCTTAAAAAGTAACGCGCCCAAAGTTAATTAATTAACTTTTTACTCGACTTTAACCCGACATAACCTGTCAAACCGTTAAACTTTAACTTATTTGAATACCCCTAATATATGCGGAAGAAAAAATGTCAAGTCGAACGTTAACATCTGGAGATTCTCGTTTTTTTTTTCAAATTGAAACTTTAAATTGAAATTAATTAACTTTATTATTCCTTGAAAGAATGCAAATTGTCAGCGTGTATTATCTGGACAGTAAAGAAAGTAGGTTACTTTCCATAACACATTGGGCCGCGTTATGCAATATGGAAGTGGGTAAAACGTATCGTCGACAAACTGTAATTTGAAGAAAAACGTTTCGAAAACGTTAATCGATCAAAAATAGAATATTTCCATGCGAGGATCTCGGGATGCATTGCAGGGCCGCTGATCTCATATTGCATAACGCGACACAATTCTGGCTGCATTCCGTTATCACCTATAAAACACCGGGGCACAGCATATCCTCCGTGTGATGGGTGCAGACTCTGCTGTTGCTTTATCGATCGTCAATTCACTGAACTTCTATTTTTAGAAGGACCTTCCCTTCGTCGCTGAACGCCGGCGACGCGAAATCCTGGGATTACTATGAAGAGGACAATCCGTCCGGAGATGCCTCGGAATCTCCGGATCTTTGCATCTTTGCGATCCCCAGATTCCCCCGCGATATCTCAATAATTCCTCGAGTACTAACGCATTTGGACATGGAGGTCCGTGAATTTCTCAATTTTTTCACACCTCTATTTGTTACACCTAATATCTAAAATCTAATACCTTAAATACCGAATCGTGTCGAAATATTCATATCGAGAAATCTTCTCGGTGAGAATCGACGAACTGCACATAATTAAGATGAGATATGACCGAATCGGACGACGAGACGCGTGAGGACTCGAGCTCTCTGTTACTTAATTTACGCATAATTAAGATGAAACGCAGCCAAGTCGGACGATGAGACGCGCGCGAACACACTCGGGAATTCTCTCTCGCTTAATTTACGAGACAATCGGCTTAACAAGAGCAATTTGAAGTCGCGCCAAGAATCGAGCAACGTGTGGTTTAAATCGCACTTTTAAGAGTATATACGATCGACGACTGGAATCGATCGTTCCTACGGAATATTATATATTATCGAAAGAGTACCCTGCACCATTATAAAATTCGTTCGGCAAACAACGAAAAAATATGCTTTCGCGTCGTTATCTGTGTAAGATGATATCTTTCCGGAGATATTTACCGCGTTACAACGGCGATTACATACTCGCTATAAACTTACATGAGGTCCGGCCGAAAGTGATGAATCATGGCGCAGAAGGCAAGCCCGTCTCTCCAGGAGGTGGTCATGTTTTGCACGTTTACACCCGGATAACCGTCGGTTATCCGACGGCACCAAAGCTCCAGCGCCTTCGTACCGCGTCTCTCACCCATCGTGCTTACGGCTTCCTTTTTCCCCTTTCTCGCTTTGCGAGAGAGACTTCCTTTAGCGGCCACGGACCTTTCTTTCACTCGGCCTGCTCCTCTATGGCCTCTATATCGTTAGTGCGATTACTTCAATAATACTAGTTTGGCTTCTGAAAAAGAGAAACAAATTTTTTCGCATGATAGATTTGCAGCTATAAATGTGCAGTATTATTTGTTATAGTAACGAAATGATCAGAACGTTAATTAAGTATACATCCTAAGATTAATCCGCGATTCGGCTGCTGTTACGTGTAAATAATATGAGATATTTTCCCAGACATTTCTCGCGAACGGTTTGCAGTGTCACGGTTGTCGCGGTTAGACAATGTCAAAAGAGAGGAAAGGGAGGAAAAAGAGCGAAGAAGAAAGGAAGAAAAGCGGAGTGTCTCCGCAAATCGATGGCGCCGCTCGGGATGATCGAGTGTGCGTTTTGTCGTAACGGGCCGCGACGCCGCTCTCGAAAACTGCCGCTAGGATAGCGGGGCGGTGGGGGGGGGGGGGAAGGAGGAAGATTGCGAGCTGTAAAAATCGCAAGCGCCGTTCGTTGACGGTTGGAGACCGAATGATGTTTTGCGCAACGTGAAAGCGGGAGCCTGCGTGCCACGTGAGCAACGAGTGAAACCACACGCCGCACGCCGGGTCAAGCGTGAAACCGCGCGCGCGCGCGTGTTTTACGCGCCGCATTCATTAACCCTTCATTATTATTCTACGCGTCGCTTCCTCTTAGTACATTGAAGAATCCGCAAATCGAGACAGTTCGCCGAAATCGATGTAAGAACACCGAGGAAAGAAGGAGAAGGAGGAAGAAGAAGAAGATACCGTAAACCGCGCGGTTGATATTTCACGTTACCGGTTAAAAATTCAAGAACCGACGCTTTATGTAATGGGAAAGCTGAGTACGGCATAAAATATTTACAAGTCGGAAAGAAATCGCATTGATACTCTATTTTCACCTTTCTCGCGAATTGCCGAGTGGCAAGTCGATAAATGAGAAAAGGAGGAGAAGGTGGTTTCCGAGAGATCCATTCAGGGATCATCCTGCTTCTCGCTCTACACGCGTGACGTTCAGATTAATGTCAGGCTCCTTCTCCGGTTTTAGCGCAAACACGAAAGTGGACCAACGACACGTCTAAATGAGATTCGTAATTGCTTGAAAATGCAATAAAGCAGCGCTGTAGTATTACGCATTACGCGCGATATCACATGGTGCGCGAAAAACTGGAACGGATAGGTAGTTAACGGGAAAGTACTCGGTCGATCCTCGCGTTTAGTCGAGTCCGACCGGTTTTCTACTGAACACGGCCTCCTATCTGTAACAACGCTTGTCTAACTATCCCACGGGCCTATTTCGCGGAAAAAACGCCAATTTCCAGTTTTTGCTCGTAGCCTATACAGCGAAACGCTTATAGCTCGCGATTTCTGTTATTTGTCACGTACACAGATCGTAGAAGCAAAACCGGTCAGCTACAATATTTTATTGTCAACGCACTTTTTTCACTATTCGGAACTACGCATAGGATTTCCACTGCTTTTGTATCATCTCTTCTTTTTCTCCGACAACTCCGCGACACACTTGTTATATCGACTTTCACCGGCGGATAAAAATCATTATACGTTTTATAGTCAGGAGAAGCCATCCGAGCCTCAATGTCCGCTTTTCCGTTCTCGGAAGAGGAGAGAAAAAAAGGGAGCTTCGACAAACGCTCGTGTCGGACAGTTTTTGTATGAATTACGATGTAATCAGGTTCAGATCGAAGCTTTAAAGTTTCCGTCGTGGTCGTCCCGGTAACATCGAAGGATCTCGCCTTTCCTCCGCTGTTAGTCGTTAAGCTCCTCGATTGCAACAGTATCCCACCGTTGCGCACCGTGATTAATGGTCCAGCCGTGAGTGAAACGTAAGTGCGCAGAAATAAGTAAAAGTTACACGCGGCCTTGTTCACCGTTCGCCAACAGCCGTGAGGCTGTAAAAGCCGCATTACAGGTGAGACCCGCCTGAGACAGAGAGGGCGGATGTTCCGGGGAAGCGAGGGCCACAGCCCTGACGGGCGCGTAAACGAACGAATTTGTCTCCGGCCTCCGCAACCGGTTACCTTCGTGATCTTTTCGAAAAGTAGTCTTAAAGACGTTTCGTCTCATCTGGTAGTGCGATAAAAGCTGATTGGTTAATGGATAACTATCGGCATCTTCCGTTGGCGACATCGTAACGCTTGATAGTCTTACCAGCGATTTTCTCGAGCCACTTAATCGTTAACGCCTGCGATAAGATCATTAAGGTGAAAACCGGACGGGCGCGCGTTATTTACGAGCCCATTCTAGGAAAATCAGGTGAGAATCGGCGGAAACAATTGGAGTGAAAGTAAAAAGTAAGATAAAAGGGAAAATGATTAAGCGCATGCAGGGTACGCGTCGAGATCGACCACTCATGTGAAGCAAAGAGAACTCGACAATTCGGCGGAGCATCGCTTTCGCGCAATTTAACGCAACATACCGCGACCGGCGCGGCGCGATCCGTATACGGATACTTTCGCGAAAAGCTAATATTTAACGTATGATCACGCAGTGAGAAGAGAGTATCGAGCGTGTCCGCGGGCTGAGCCCGAAGGCACGGCTCTCGATATCAAAGAAGGGCTTCGCCGTAGAGCGAGCCTTTCGAAAGACATCGATTGCCCGCAGCTCGGCAAAAGTGAAGGTGCATCTATGTGGCCCCGCGAGCGAAGCCACGTTATCCCGAGTAAGAGAGACAGAGGAGAGACCTCATGAAAGATTCATGCCGGCGAGGAAGACGGCCTACGGCGTCGCGAGACACCTGCGGTAACCACCACTACGACAAGTTTCACAGGAGATTAGGATGTCCCCGATATTTTTACAGTTAGTCGCGTTCTGGAATTGAGGAGCGGACACCGCGGTGGTCACTTCCGACCGATATACCTAGGACATCTTACGTGCCTCGCGTTTATATGTCTCGATCGACGACCGAGTGACACGGTTAAGGATAACTACGGAGACGTTTCGTATGAAATTGCGAGATTGACTTTCTCGCGTGAGGAAATCTTGCCCGGCGAACACAAGCGCCGGCTTCTTAATTCGCTCTACTTCACGGGTGTTCCCGTCCGTCATTACGTGAACTATCTGGAAGAGCAAATCGGCGTTCCTCGAGCATTTAACATTGCTGAGCGTTGTTCGCGAGTCGAACTGGCGACGGCAGAAACGCAGGGCGAGAAACCTTGGAAAGCTTTCGTTTCAACAATCATTTGCCACACTGCATGGTCTCGCGACTCGGCGCGAAAGCGCGCGAAAGCACTCGTAATCCGCAGCCGCTGCTGACTATCGCGAAAAAAGAAATGTCGACTGTACGATGCTGGACTGTTTACACAACTCTCTTCTCTAAATTATAAATTTCTTCTCCAGATTTTCTCAGGTGGCATCGAATTTTTCGTCTCTAGCCATTATCGAGAGGATGAAAGTCGGATCTTGGACAAGACGTTAAATATCTGTTTTCAGGATCCGACTTATGTACACGGTTAATTAGTTGAAAATCTGGCGCGCGTCAGAAACGCTTAACATATAGTTAACGCACGTGTGATAATGTTTACGCGTTAATGTTTCTACGTGCTCGCGATTAATTCCACGGACACGATTCTGCTCCTCGAGAAAAGCGCAAGGGGAGTTGCGGGCTATTAGGAGGAATAGCGCCGAGAGACTTTCCAACACATACCCCATTTGCCGTCATCTCCATGTCGTTAACGTCTACTTACGCCAAATTACGTGGTTAGAGAAACCGACATACAAATTCATTCAGTAAAACGCGCTAGAAAAAAAATGACGTGCTCGCCGCGACAAGAATCTAACGTGTACAACGTATCTTTTTAAACATATCTGCACTTTACAAGTAAAGAATCGTATCTCCATTATTAAAGATTTAGAGAAAACAGGATTTAAAGTTTATTATTTCTATAATAAATTTCCAGCATGACTTTTCTAAACATTATATCTGAGGAACTAATAATAATGGACATAGATCCCCTTTTACTGTTATACAATTTAAATTGTATATTGGTATATTAGAAAAAGTATTAACTCTAATTTCGACAAAAACTCGAGATACGATTCTTTACCTCTAATTGTAAGGTACAGATATAGGAGTTGATGAATATTTAGCGCGCTTGGGGACAATTATTCTTCCACAATCTCTATTGATTTGCAGGTCTTTAGCGTCGCGGATCCGGTATTACAAGGAACTTCTTTAATCCTTATAGAAATCCCTCGTTATCAACGACCTCACTGCGGATACGCAGATCCTCGAGTTGGTAATCGCACTCTCGCGCAGCGCTCGGCTCGTTGATAAACTCGCGTGTTCATTTGCAACAATTAAGGATCGCACTTTAACGAGCGCAATCGTCCCAATCGCAAAAAGCGGCTAACGTTCCCGCTTGAAAATACAGTTGCACGAAGAGGAGAGTCCCCGTTCGTAGCGCAGCCGGTAGGGTAATCTGTGAAATTTATTACCGCGTCGCGGGACGGACTAAACGACAGCATCGATCATACGGATGCGTTTTAACGAGACGTATGCCTCATTATTATATGAGAGCGAGGCTCTTATTACATAATAAAAAGGATCTTTCTTCCCCATTTCCATCCTCGTATCCTGTTTTATTAGAATTCATGACGAGCGCAGTAGATCGGAATTGATCATCCCGCGTGAACCATCTCGTGAAAAACGGGAGGAAACCGTCGTCGCCGAGAGAGCCCGAGCTTTAACGGCCAAGATTGGCACGGATGAAGACCACGGTTAAAGCGCCTTCATAAAGCTTGAAACGCGCGATCGTTATGATTTAACGATATGGATACAAAGTATCGTGGACGTAACGAAACAGTGGCGCGCGCTGTAAATTCCGGAGCTTTACGGCGAGCGTACTTTCATGAAAGCGTATAAAGCGCGTCTATTTTTCTCGTGGAATCTAATAAGAAAAAAATCGATTCGAGGATTGTGCGAGAGGCTCGACCTTGATCCCGGTCGAACGAGGCAACACGTACACGGCACCATTGTTCGCCAATCGCCAAGATCACTTTTCCCTGTACCGTAAGAGAAAAGCGATCGTATATCTTCGCG